GGTAAGGAGCATGGCGCTTCCTGCGGGCACTCGCTAGGGTCTCTCTGGGAACGTTCAACACGGCGAGGTGTCTTCGTCCTGGTGTTGGGACAGGGGAATAGGGCGGCTGGCTGGAGACGCCTGGGGCTGTGCTTGTGGGTCTCTGCTGGGTGTGGGGAGCGTACAATTGGTAATAAAATCCAGGACGCAGTTGAGGAAATCCAGGATGGGGTGCACTATGCACATGCACACACCCCGTGCTTCTTCACACACACATGAATGCTACCCTGTCTCCTCGCACACACCTCTGGTTCTCCGCGCACACACCCACCTCTTGTGCCTCTTTATATGCACACACATACATGCATGCACACACCCCGCTGTCCCTGTTCATACTTACACACGTACCCACATGTGCCTACATACACGCACACACCCTTGTGCCTCCTCTCACACACACACACACACACAGCCTGCTGCCTACACATAAACACGACACACCCCAGTGCCTCCGCTCTCCCTCTCTCACACACACAGACACACACACATCCACATACACCCCTCTTCATACACACATACATGAATGCGCACACACCATGTGCAGACTTACACTCACACACACAAACCTACGTGCATCCTCACAAACATTCACACTCACCTGTGCCTCCTCACACCCACACACCCACTGTGCCTCCTTGAATATGCGTGCACACACCAAAGTGCCTCCTCCCTCACACACACACAGACACAACCAGTCCTGCATCTTGCACACACATACACACTCACACTACTGTGCCTCTTCATACACATACATGCATGCATGCACCCTCCCCCTGTGCCTTCTCGTACTCACATACACACCCGTGTGCTTCATCAAACATGGCTCACACACACATACACACACAGACGCACACACTTCTTTACCTCTTCATATGCACACAAATGCATGCACACACATCCTGTGCCTTCTCACACACACAAACCCATGTGCCTCCTCACCCCACCATGTTCCTCCTCTCACACAAACACACACACGCAAACACACACATACCCTGTGCCTCCTCATATACCAAAGAAAAAGCCCAGTGCCTACTCCCAAACACAGAGACGACACACCTGTTTGCCCCCCCACACACATCTACACACAACCCCTCTTCATACACACACATACACACATGCATGTATACCCCCGTGCCTTCTAACGCTCACACACCCCTATGTGCCACCTCACACACACACGCACACACACCCCCTCTGTGCCTCTTTATACACACACATCTATGCATGCACACACTCCCTGTGCCTGCTCACACTCACACAGACACATCTGTGTGCCACTTCATGCACACCCCCATGTGCCTTCTCTCTCTCTCTCTCTCTCTCTCTCACACACACGCACACACACACACACACACACCCATTTGAAATGGACGTTTCTGCCTGATCCTTCGTGTTCATGCCCTTCAGGAGAGGCGGGTGCGGGGCTGCCTGGCACAGCTTCTGCCATGGCCTCGTTCATGCCCTGCTCACCCTGCTCTGTGCTTCTCTCTCCTCCAGGTTGCGGCGTTGCCGTCTCACACCCGCCTGCTGTGGGGATCTCGCCGCTGCTCTCAGCACCAGCCCCAGCCTGACGGAGCTGGACCTGGGTGGTAATGAGGATCTGGGGGCTGGCGGCGTGCGGCTGCTGTGCGAGGGACTGCGACATCCCAGCTGCAAGTTGCAGACGCTGCGGTAAGGAGCATGGCGCTTCCTGCGGGCACTCGCTAGGGTCTCTCTGGGAACGTTCAACACGGCGAGGTGTCTTCGTCCTGGTGTTGGGACAGTGGACTAGGGCGGCTGGCTGGAGACGCCTGGGGCTGTGCTTGTGGGTCTCTGCTGGGTGTGGGGAGCATACAATTAGTAGTGAAATCCAGGACGCAGTTAAGGAAATCCAGCATGGGGTGCACTATGCACACACACGCACACACATGTGCGTGTGCACACACCCCCGTGCCTCTTTACACCCACACATGAATGCTACCCTGTGTCTCCTCACACACAACCCTGGTCCTCTGCACACACACACACACACCTCTGGGCGTCTTTATACGCACACACATACTTGTGTGCACACATCCCTGTGCCTGCTCACTCTCACACACACACACAACTGTATGTCTCCTCACACATACGCAACTAGGGGCATCCCCATACACACACAAGCACACACACTTATCCGTGCCTCCTCATGTACCCACCCACACAGGCAACCCGCCCCCCCCCGCCCACCATTCCTCCTTGAATATATGTGCACACAGCCAATGCGTGTGAGTGCCTCCTGTGTCACAACTGTGCCTCCTCACAGCCACACACCCACTGTGCCTCCTTGAGTACCCGTGCACACAGCCCAGTGCCTCCTCCCTCACACACAAATGCAAAGACACACCCCAGTCCTGCATCTTGTGCACACATGCACACACACTCACATACTTGCAGTACTGTGCCTCTTCATACACAAACATATATACATGGACACTCCCCTGTGCCTACTCATACACATATACACACACCAGTGTGCCTCCTGGAACTTGCGCAGACACACATACACACACACAAACACACACTTCTTTGCCTCTTCATACACACACAAATAAATGCATGTACACACACCCTGTGCCTTCTCACACTCACACACACAAACCCATGTGTCTCCTCACCCCTCCATGTTCCTCTTCTCACACAAACACACACACACATATACACATATACCCTGTTCCTCCTCACATACACATGAAAAAGCCGGTGCCTAGTCCCAAACACACACACGACACACCTGTTTTCCTCCTCTCTCTCTCACACACACACACACATCTGCACACACCACTCTTCATACAAACACACATGCACGCAAGTACACTCCCCCTGTGCCTTTTAACACTCACACACCCCATGTGCCTCCTCACACACACATAACTATGTGCCACCTCAAACAGACACACACACCTCTGTGCCTCTTCTTACACAGACATATAATGCATGCACACACTCCCTGTCCCTGCTCACACTCATACAGACACAACCACATGCCGCCTCTTGTGCTCACACATCCTGTGTGCCTCCTCTCTCTCTCTCACACACAAACACACACAAATGCGCGCGCGTGCGCGCACACACACACACACACACGGTTTCAAAGGTGAACTGTGGACCTTTCTGCCTGGTCCTTCATGTTCATGTCCTTCAGGAGAGGCGGGTGCGGGGGCTGCCTGGCACAGCTTCTGCCATGGCCTCGTTCATGCCCTGCTCACTCTGCTCCGTGCTTCTCTCTCCTCCAGGTTGTGGCGTTGCCGTCTCACACCCGCCTGCTGTGGGGATCTCGCCGCTGCTCTCAGCACCAGCCCCAGCCTGACGGAGCTGGACCTGGGTGGTAATGAGGATCTGGGGGCTGGCGGCGTGCGGCTGCTGTGCGAGGGACTGCGACATCCCAGCTGCAAGGTGCAGACACTGCGGTAAGGAGCATGGCGCTTCCTGCGGGCACTCGCTAGGGTCTCTCTGGGAACGTTCAACACGGCGAGGTGTCTTCGTCCTGGTGTTGGGACAGTGGACTAGGGCGGCTGGCTGGAGACGCCTGGGGCTGTGCTTGTGGGTCTCTGCTGGGTGTGGGGAGCATA